GACCTACCATGGAAAGGAGCTGCATAGTAGAGAAATAAATCAGTTCTGTGGAGAAAGTGAAAAAAAATAAATTTATCTAGTCAAATAATTGCAACAATTTCATTTGTTGGCTGCAAATCGGGAGAAGTTTCAAAGAAAAGCTTATACATCAAGTTTCTAGATTACCTGTACACACCAACTGTATCTATACCAATAGATACTATAATTTCAGAGGAATAACTTCTTGTTTACCTGAATCTACAAATCATATAAACGTCACGCTAAAGCTCATTGTACAAAAGTTTTAATTTTTGTAGTATTAATCTAAAACCTCCCAACTTTTGTATCAAACATTAGAATTGAAATAAATATGATAAAACGGGGCAATCCCAGATGCCTATGTTCTTTGGAAACTCCAGTCAACTGAAACATGGCAGTTATTCTCACAAGAGGAATAATATAAACAACAACCAAAAAAGGGAGAATAACAAAGCTCTTTGCATTTGGTATACTTGCTGGTTTTGCAGCAACTATAAGGGATGTTTTTAATGTTTGTTGATCCTCACAACAGAGGAACATTAAATCCAGCTATAACCATATGTCAAATGCAAGAGCCTGGGATAAAGAAAATAGTCTAAAATTAGTGTTTACTAAATATAATGCTGTAAGAGAATACATTCATCAACTTCAGTGCCACTATCAGCTTGTCGTAAGTTAAACTCAAATGTTTACAAGATAAGAATTTCAGCTGAAAGGAAAAACATGTTTCAGTAGAGACAAGTCACCACACTAGGCACAGCCTTTTCCACTGAACTTTTTACATTTTCACTTTATTGCTGACAAGATGTTAGAGGCTCTTCCTGGTAGGTATTTTAACATATATGGTAAGATATTATCCCTACATGTGGGAGAATAAAGTATGGTGGTGGTATTCCACAAGTGTGCAAACTTTATGCCAGAAGGGGGAAGTTAAACTAGCAAAACTGATTTTTAGCTTCTCTCAGCACTGGAGACAGAAGTATGCATGAACAAGACCAAGCTATTCTGATTACCACTTTGCTAGTATTTTGCATCTGAGGTACATGTTTGTTTCTAGTATAAACAAACTTACAAAGTGCTCCTGACCTAGACTTGACTTAACTCATTAAAACGTGCCAATGAGAAGGAGAATCATCACAAACTTTCTGAATTTCAGGTAGATAAACTCAATAAGCTACATTTCTGATGTGGCTGGTCATCTTCTTTTAGGTGCTACTCATTTCCTGCAGTTAACACTCATTCAAAACCAAACCAAAACAAAATATTGCTTAGTTTATATAATAGTCACTTCCATTACTGAAACACAACTAGCTACTGTAATTACCATGAGGATTTCTTTTCACTGCCTGCAAAATAGGAGGCATTTCCTCTCCAGGAAAGGTTATAATGATATGTGGACAGTTTGTCAGGTGATCTTATGAAAATCATGCAAAAGAAATGAGGAGATACTGTAAAACAAACAAAAAAAAAATTAGATTGCAGTTTACACTATGAATATCTGAGAACCCATGTTCTGCATAAAACTATAAAACAGTGAAAACAGTACAAATAGAACAGAAGAGCTACATGTGTGTAGCCAGTAATAAAGCTGCTTACTGTTAAAAAGGCTTTCATGGAACAGACTGTTGGAGTTCAATATTCAAGTTAAAATTCACAACTTACTATGTGAATGTTTAACCACACAGCTGTATATCTTCTAATGTTCTTTCAGATTAAAAAAAAAAAAAAAAGTAACTCCTTTCACTCTAAAGAAGAGGGTATTTTAGTAATAGGATGATACAACTCTGCTATTGCTTTCAGATGTCCAACACAAAAGACCCTGTACTTATCATCATACTATTAATTCCTACGATTACATTATTTCCTCTCAAACTCACATCTCTCTACAGCTCCTATCTCCCTATGGGATCCAGTTACTGCTTAATCCTTTTTGACCATGGTAGAGTGCAATCCTGGACCTAGCATGTAATATCTTGCTGCCTTTACCTTTTTCCTCCTGCAGACATCTTCTTTCTAGGCAGTACTGCAAAATTTTTTTTGTGAGATAAACAGAATCTCTGCTAGTTTGAGATTTTTTGTCCTTTAGGTTTGGTTGTTTTTTTTTTTTGGCAGAGGTCTTACTACAAACTATAGTTTAACATAAACTTGTCCTTTAAGTAACATTTGTAACATTTCTTTTTAAAACACCATGCTTTCTTCACCATAAGCCCTGATCAGTCCTACATCCTTTACCACAGACTTTCAAAACACATTTCAAAGCAGGTTCCCTACAAAGTGAATATTTCTTTCACAATGCCAGTGTATGTGTTTGGTTACAAATACTGGAGTATTTCTCTAGTATTTCCTTCAAAAGAATTTTTTAAATACTTTTAAAGTTTGATTTGAGAGAGTGCTGATCCCTATTCTGTGAAGCAAGCTAGCATCATTAGGATGACAAAATCAAGTCTTATTGTGGCAAGAAGAAACATCATTTCGTGTCAACAACACACTGCTATTGATCTGAACTCCTCCTTGCCTCACGGGTGAAATAACAAGTTCCTACACACAGACTCTCTAAGCATACCAATGGAGGAGAGAGGCAAGAAAAATACTAAAAATGGCTGTATTAAAGATACAACAGGAAATATATGACTCATGAAATGTAAATTCTTTTATCTGTATGGAATAAATTGAAGAAGAGCTTAATATGGCTTCTGCATTTTCTATGGAGTTAGATTAGAACAGAAATACACCTACCAATAATACACCAGATTTAGGCTTTCCAACAAGCATCTCCTAACTGTTCAGCAGTCTTTGTGAAACAAGCCAGCTTCATTTTTATTACCTAATATGTGAATATTCACATTTTTAAAATGACACCTTATTATAGCATCCTGGTTCGTTGTTTCTGTCAGTGTATGGTGGGGAACTGATTGAACATACAGCGTAAATTATCCTTTCCCATCACAGGTAGGACCCCTTTAAAACAGAGCTAAGAACATTCTGTCAACACAGATAGGTTCATTCTTTCACCATCTTTGAAAAACAGACTGCAATTTTCAGAAAAAAAAATAAACCCCATATCTTTCTTCTTAAAAGATACAAAAAGGAATAAAACCATAGTTAGTCATGCAACATCAATATAAATACCACTTTGCACATGAATAGTTCTTTTTCTAGAACTTAAAGCTGTGACTTTAAGCAAATCTGCTAACCAAAAAAAAAATGCAGTGAGATGAAATACTACTTATGTTGTCTAATTGAACCAAAAATTTAAGCTAATTTCAAACACTTCTGTAGCACTGAAGTTAGCATGCTAGAATTCCACAGTCCATCTCTAAGAACATGAACAAAGTAATATACAAGGCATAAAAAATTATTTCAAGATAACTTACTTTTTAAAATACTTAAGTGTAGGGAACAAAGCTATTTTCATACCACATCCAGAAAATGGATGAGGTGTGAAAGAACTCTCTTGTTTAATGTGACCTTTGGCTGTACTTTCACTTGTCATCATTATGAAGTAGCTACTTTCAGTGCCAACACATAAGCTGCGTTATATTACCCTATAACAGTAGTAGCACGTCTTTCAGGAAGTGTTTCATACTCCAAGAAACTGGTGGCAGAATGCATTGACAGCACTTACCTTTGTAACTGCTTATAATAGGTCTTATTCAACAGTAAGACCTCATTTAAACAAGGAACTGAGAGTGACTGTACTAAATTTCATAGAGCATGTCACATAAACTAGTATATGTTGAGGAACTCCCTCGGAGTTCTCAGCTTCAGTGAAAACATTCAAATAAGGAGAAATGTAAATTTGAGATTGGAACTCTGCCCCAAATAATAATATTCAGAGCTTTGTTACTATGCACAGACCAAAAATACTGCAACATACTTGACTTTCCTTAACGTCTATAATTAAGAAAATACTTCTTAAAAGCAAATGAATTTGAAATTCAAGTAAGATTAATAGAACAAATACAACAAATTTATGCTTTACACAATGGTAGCAAGCGACAGAGTAAAAAACAGTAGCTATCATTATCTGAAGCTGTTCATCTAACACCATAGAGAAAAACCATTGATACATACTGTACACACATTTTTATCCATGTATATAAATCAAAGGAAACAGCTTCCTTTAAGGCAAGCATATGAAGATACTAAAGCAAGATACAAATTAAATATTCATACATTCAATATTTCAAAATAAGGAATTTGGATATACACATGCATAATTTAAGTTCTATAGTGAAACCTGTCTACAGAGGCCATTTCTACTGTATTTCAACAACACTGAAACTTGAAATGTACAATGCAGCCTTTCCATGCTGTGTTAAAACTTTAAAGTATAATAGTAATTCATTTCAAGCACTAAACATAGAATAAAGGCCTCATTATGCACACAGCACTTTTGCAGATGAACTGCTGCTTTGCCCTATTCATTAAAGCCCTGAAACAGGGCTGTCAGTCACAGCACTCTCCTGCAAGGTGGCTTTACAACTGCCCAACAGGTTACTCATTAGGAACTGAGGTCAAAAAGGCAACTTGAGCTAACAGGCTCATCAGTCCTGAAAAAACCCACCAGTCAGAATTGACTCCAAGTCAAATTCTCATACCAGGCACCTGTTCTAAACTCCACAGAGCTGGTGCTCATACACAAAGCCTAGAGCTGGCCCCTTAAACTGTTTTTATACGTTCACTCAAGCCTCTTTGGAGTAAAAGATTAGAGTTTAGGCCTTTTTATTGTCAAAGGAAAGCAACACAGACTTCACAATAGTATGTTGTGCACTAGGAACTACGAACAGAGAACCTGGTTATATAAAACAGAGATGTTAAATTTTCGGAGCTTATAAATTCTTATGCATGCAAAAAAACACTGTGGGACATGGGAGAACCCTTCTACCCAATTTCCCCCCTTGAAATACATCATCTTCTGCATGGGTCTGCTCCTCCTCATACATATAAAACCTTGCTGATAAAGGAAATCTCCATATGAGTTATTAATGTGAATATATTATTTTTATTAGAAATTAAAAAGACGGATTCAAATATCAAAAGTCTCATTTTAAAAACATCCATTTTACTGGAACAAAAATATCTCAAGTTAACTTTAAGAAAAATTACAGAGTACTTATTAAGGGGATAACAGTACTACTTTATTTCAACATGTTTTAAAGTAAACATTTTTGCTCCTTGAAGGTCACTCATTTGATCTTGACACATCTATGAAATAATAGAAGCAAAAGCTAAGTAAGTTGAAAAGTGGTATTAAGCAATAGAAAGCTAAATAAAATTAGTATCTACATGGTAAATTACTTCATTGAAAACCATCTATGGATTCTGCAAAGAATATACTTTTGCCTTAGAGCTAGTACTTTAATTTTCAAGAACCAAGAAAAAAAAAATCAAAACTAGTCAGTAACAATGCAGCGTCGAAAAGCAATAAACTCAAAATTAAGTTATAAATAATTTAAAGCATGTCATGAAGATGTATTAATAATTCATCGGATAAATAATTTACTAAATAATCAAATAAATAAATAATGAAATACATAAATAAATCAGCAAATAAATAATTCTGCAAAATAACCTAAACAATAAGTCACTAAAACAAATGACAAACCTACAAAACTACAATGATTTTCTAAATTCTGATAGTTTTAAATAAACAAATGTATATAAACTAGATCAATCTTTGGTGGATAGAGAAATATTTTTCACTGCTATTGGTGAATTCCTGATTACATTGCACAAGGATACAATTTTAGGTTTTACAAGAGTGCAGCTTTTCCCTTGTAAATTATTAACATGATTGCTACAATATATCCTGCTCTGTATTTTACACATAATCCTTTATGTAGCTCATTTCCCCCCCCAAAAAAAAAATGAAAATCTGTTTACAGCACTCTTAAGTCACATATTTCTTTTTTTTTCCTGGCTGAAGTACTTACAATACTGCTATAGCCTTCTTGGTGGTTCTCTTACTGTCTTCTGCAAATCTTCAGAAGTTTTGCTGCAGGGGGAAAACAAGTAGAATAATCTTAATTATTACAGATGGTATCTCATTCATTAGCGTATGACAACATTTTATTTGAAAGCACAAGAAAACCTGTTTTATAATTCAACAAAGCAACTTAATGTGAAACACCATTACAGTTTGCAGACTACCGAAAGTTTTCAGAAGTCTTTGGTGGAACAAGTTCAAGCAGACTGAGGCCTGTTTCTTGTATTTAAGCTGACACACAATCTGTGCAAACTGGCACTAATTCAGATATAAAGACAAACCACGAGAAGGACAAAATACTTGGCTGACATCTAATGTTATCCTTGATTTTGGAAGTTCATAGTCCTTGAAAGAATACAGTGAGATCATTTAATAACCACTACCTAAGTACATTCACAATTTCATTACAACACTGCACTCTAAAGCCAACACTGGTACCACAAAGGTCAAAATCCACTCATCTCCTGAATTAATTTTCATTCTCCGTTTATTTTAATGAGTAATATTGACAGTCACCATAATTTTCCTCAAAGTAGTATTCTGTAAATACAGCAGTTAAAGAAATGCACCAGAAGTGTAATCATGTTATCAATCCATTCTGTCAAAAAGGTTTATTTGCTTTCTTCTCTAACACACATTACAGGAAAGAGACAGTTTTATAAACCATGCTACTGACATGGATTTTTGATCTCTGTACATGACTGTAAAACTGAATGCATACATCAAACATGAGGTTATATATTGTACATATGCACTTTTTTTGCTACTTGGTTCAAAGGTAATCAGTATGCAGTTCTGTTTCTGCTGGTAAGATCTCAAATGGTTCATGGTGTTGCTGTATTTCAGCACCTAAAAGCCTAAAGGATAATTTACTCTTAAAACTACCTGGACACATTATATTTAACAAGTCTCAAATTCTCTTCAGGGATTATAATAAGAAAACACTTTGCTTAATCATAAATTTTATATTTATCTTGGCTAAACACCCTCCTTTGGATAGACTGCCATGTTTTGTCAGGAAAAATCAACACAGTGGAAATGAAGTACTTGTTCTGTTGTGTGGTCATTCAAAAGAGTATGTAGAAGTAATGTAAATGTGCACCAGCGCTGCTGATAATTTCACGCTCTCATACACTCATTTCAATTTGCTTTAAAAAGGACTATTCTTCCTGACTAAATATAGTCATCATGAAAAAGCATATCTCCCCTTTGGGCTAATAACACTGCAAGGCCCTCAACACAGGAGTACAAAAAACTGCTGTATTTTAGGGAACGTGAAGCACTTTCTTCTCATAATATTTTTCTGAAGTGGGACAAATGAGACTTCTTTTGCTAAGGTATCCTCTTTTAGTGCCCAAATTTCAGTTTGAGAATGCCAGTACTTTCCCACACCACATTTGCAAATCCCATCCACCCTAAACAAATCATACATATCCCAAATCCTTCTTTTTGAAAGTAATGAATCCTTGTAAAAGCAGTATATACCTTCACACATTAAAAGATCTGGAGGATTACTGGGACACAAAATGGCTCAGGAATGATCCTAAGGTTCTGGAATTAGACCTTTAGGAAGTACCACTTAGTCATAGATCATTTTCATTCATCTGCAGCTTGGAAGCCTCTGATAGCAAAGCAATTTTTCACCAATGAGTTACAGTAGAACTAAAACAGTAATTACAGTAACCAATGTCTTACCACCACGTTTCTTCCTTTTACAATTTACTTAGTTTTTAATAAGTTTCATGTTTAATATGGGCTTCTAATCTGTGGTTACAGAACTGACCTCCTTGCACAACTGTTTCCAAGTTAGAGGGTCATAACTCCCTGCTCAAATAGACATGTAAATCATTTAAAGGACCCCAACCAGCCAATGACCTGAGATACAGACACTTTTATATCTCTTGCAAGCAAATAAAAACTCCCTCCTACGTAACAGGTAGGTCTGAAACTGAGTGTGATTCCATTCCTCTGTTCTGCCAGCTGCTCTTTTCTCCCCAACCCTCAGACATACTAAAGGCGCCTTTACTCAACAGATCATGCAAAAGATTGGTCAAAAAAAAAAAAAAAAAAAAAAGACTGAAGCAAAAGGCAGTGCCATTCAAGTGCAGTTCACAGAGAAAGAACACCAGAAATCAGCTAATTGTGCGCACTGTACTCTGCCCAGGCTGAGAAACTGAGTGCCTTGCTGTACTCAATTTATTCTGTGTGATAATACAAGGAACTGGATTGTACTGCATACCAAAGAACAAATTTCAAATATTTACAATGGCAAAAGTATAAATAAGGCTCACGGCAAAAAGCACTAAGCAACAATTCTGCATTTTGATACTGCCATCACCAGAAAGTTTCTTAGTTTGCAAGTACAAATCACACCAAAAGAAACCGCATACTGCTGCTTTTTCCCTTTAGGAACTTATGAACATAGAAACCAGAGGAAATTTCAGAAAATTATTACAACATATAATTTTAAAATTTAGGACTGGAATTCTAATTTTTTTTTCTGAATGTTCAGGAGCAAATACAGGGGAAAAGAGAAAGGGTGGACAGACCTACTTTACCAAATTAAACGTAATATAAGGCACTGACCACTATATTCTGATTCACATTTCAAGGATTCTTTGAAATGTTACAAGTTTCATAGACTATTTTGCACTATCAATGAAAATGGATTCTTATATTCAGGAAGTTAATATGTAAATCATTTCCAGGACAGAAGCCTCATTCCTCTGCCACACTTCCCTCTATTACAACTGATCAATTAAATTAAAAATTATATTTTTGGCCAACTTCACATAGAAAGATACTGTTGTGACAGAGTACAGTACTTCAATAAAATTCTTAATGTATCTCCAATTTTTACCATAAAAAGCAAAGAAGTGCTTGTTACATATATTGTATAAGTCTAAACGAAAGCTGCCAAAGTAACCCAGCATTACAACCAGCTATAGGACAATTTTGAGTATGTTCCTGATAAAAGCCTTGAGTATTTCTTGAATAACTTTTTAACAAGCTTCTTTCAATTGTCTCTTAGTAAAAAATCAATTTTGGAATATTAAAATACATAGTAAAATGCTAAATCCCAAACTACTCAATCGACTGCTATCAATACAACACATAGCTCATTTGACTGTTATGACCCCGTTTCCTAGTTGATTTTTAGATAAAAACAAGCAGATTACTAGCAAATTCCTACATGTACAGCATGCCACATTAAATATATGCAAATCAACCCTGTTCTCCTCTAGTTTTTTTGAGCTGATAACTCATATGACCTGAAGCCATGGTTAACGATTACAATTATCTGACTTTCATATTTATACAATCAGTCATCAGATACGCATGTTAATTGATTTTAACAGATAGTTTTGTATTCTAATGATCAACAGTAAGCACACACTTTACCAACCTCTTGATTTATATCAGAACTTATATCATTTTTCACAATTAACTCTTCAATGTATTGATCTGCAGTATTCATTGGGACTTCACTACATGTTAGCCCAGAAGTACTCCAAACTATTTATTTCAGTAACAAAACTTGATTTTTCAGTTAAAACCACTCTTATATTGTGTTTAAAAAAACCCACAATTACTACCCTAATTTAAACAATGCATTGCCTATTAATTAGAAATGATGAAACATTAAAGCTTAAATAAATGGACTGGGCAAAACATTAATCTACAGTTAGTTCATATTCACATTTTGCTATTTAAAGTTCTTTTCGCCTTTTCAAAAGAACCTTAGTCATGCACTTCTTGATTCGAATAAGCCCTCAGTTGTCACACACATGACAAAGTACAAGCCTACATTTAAGATCCTTATGTCTCAAGTACTATGCTTAAGGCCAAAGCATTCCTCTGTTGCCATCACAAAACATATTACTGAATCAGCTCTTTTTTTTTTTAATATGGCTGCAAATTTATTCTTTGCAATCACATTTTTATTCAAATACCCTATTTATTGAAGCATCAAATACAAAACTACGAATTGCACAGATTTGCACGTGAAGGACTGACTACTTATAAATTTATACAGCATGCAATCATCATCTTACACAATTAATGGTGGTTGGTCTTTAAGGATATTCATATAAAAGAGAGTGGATATTGAATCTTACTCTCAAATAGACCAAATCATGCCTTATTCCACAGAAGGGCTCTTCCAGTTTAGGCCTTAACTGTTATTAGATTAAATGCTTATGCTCAAATTTTGGTAAAGCAAAAGCTGCCAAATCCTTTTCTCAGTATACTTTAATATCAATACTGATATTTTAATTTCTGCAAAATGCAGAGTCTTTCTACTTGAGGTACTGAGTCTGTCCATCTTTTATCGGGGTGAGCATTGTATACTCCAAGTTCTGCTACCATTCTCTTTCTGGCTGCCTGCTGCTTCAAGTGAAATTTATCCATTATATGAGATTTTTAAATACATTCTCCAGAACAAAAAGCAGCACAGAGCCATAACAGCACTCATCTCAGATACCTAATGCTGATTCAAGTTCCTATGATGTATCACAGACAGAAGAAACTTAAAGCCATGTTACCACAATCATGAACAAGCACCTTAATCTCTAAAACACTGTTTAATGGACTTTTCTGATTTTTAAAAAGTCTTAATTTCACACTGAACATAATGCGAAAGGTACTGAACATATGATAGGATTCTGTTGCTTTCTTAATAGTTATTTGCCTTAAACTAAGGTCTGGCACTATGGTAAATACTGCTAACACAAATAAATTCTCTTCAATCTCTCCCTTATTGGGAAACATCTTCTCAATCTTCAACAGATCTTGATTTCATTCAGAATATAATGAAAAGTCTGTCAGCCTGCAGAAAGGGAAAATCCATCCCACCCTAATCACTAACCCAGTGTTAACACCACAGGTACCAATGCAGAAAGACCTTGGTTTCTTTCATATAATACAGTGATATGAGTTAACCACCTTGAAGACTGATTGTAAGGTTTCTACTTTGGCAGCCAAGGCAGACCTTAAGATAAATGGAAGGG